GAGGAGCAGCTAAAGAGAAACAGCTGCAGAAGAGCAGCTACAGAGGAACAGCTACAGAGGAACAGTTGTAGATGAGCAACTGCAAAGCTGCAGCAGCTGAGTGAAGCTGACACCCCACCCACACAAAAAATCCAAGCAAGTAAGCGGATTGGTTAGTGCTTCGTTTGTGCAGGTTTGTGCAGTTAAAATGAGCGTTTGTGCTATTATAGTTTGAGATATTTTATGTTTCAATTTCAGGTGATCACATGACCTGAATTATTTACATCATTACCTGAGGGTAACAGGTTTATTTAAGAGAATATAAGTAGTAAGAGCTAGTTCCTGTAGATGGCGATAATACACCAAATGGATGTAATCTGCTGACAAACCTCACAGAAGAAGAATGTCTGGAAAAAAAGAAGAAAAAATGGCCACCTGCTGACTGTTCTGCACATACCTTTACATGAACTGATGATGTCTGTGTTCTGHGACCATTATAGTTTTATGTTATGACTTATAGCTAAAGTAACTAACATCTGATGCTGTTAAACTATTACTGTTTCGGTATGATTACTTTTTCAATAAATTTTGTTTTAGAAAGAATTTTGTGTAATCTTTTTAGTAGCTTAGATGAATTACATTTCAAATGCATTGTTTTTATTTTGTCAACCACACTTCTGTTCATAAAACAGAATAAAAGTGCCTAAAGTTTATAAAATAACATGAAACCTCTTTTGTAACTTTATTGATAATGTACAACACACACAATCCTTTGATTTGCTAGCCCCTCCCACTCGACACCTCCATGACCCCATCCAGGACTGACTGTGAGACAGTGGATGAAAATAAGCTTTAGCAACATTTTATACTCTATTAATAACAAAAATACACAAATTAGCTGTGTTACTCGTACATTCAAATAGTTTTTGTTCATAACCCTTTATTCAAGTACATATTTGGACAAGTTGAGTAAATTTAAAATAGAGGTTTTAGTTAAAACGCCTTTACCGATGCCAATGCAATGCCAGACTACCAGACTGGCAAATACAGTGGTTTGCAAAAGTATTCATACCCCTTGAACTTTTCCATATTTTGTCACATTACAACCACAAACATAAATATATTTCACTGGAA